TTCTTTCCATATAGAAAAAGGAAATAGTTCCCCAAACAAATATTTCTGGAATCTGAAGGGAAGGTCGGGGGGGTTTTAACTTTTCCTTTTTTTAAATTTCCGGGATTTGGGGGAGTAGAAAAATTATGTTTCCTCAAGTACGGGGATTTGTGGGGTGGGGGGGGGCGCCCCCCCCCCCCCCCCCCCAAAAAAAAAAAAAAGTTGACAGTTTGACTCTTAAATCATTCTGGAACAGCCAATACACAATGGGAACGACCTGCTCAGACAACCTTATCTGAGTCTTGTCTTCCAGTTGCTGAATGCTTGATACTTAATAGAGACCGTGGGTGTGATGTATAAATGGGGTGAAATAACTGATTCAAGCCACGCCAGCTTCCTCTTCCCGTCATTTCCGCCATTCCCGCCATTGCCAATCCCTCATTCGCGAATAGAAATGAAGTGCAAAAGCAATAACAATCAACAATAGACTGCCATACAGCCCTCTCCGTTCCCGTTCCAAATGTTTATGTCCATTTATTACCAATCCCCGACGCACGCCTGCGCCTTCAAATTGTGGTACTAGGTGGGTATCTCCACGTACAGTCCCTCCTCATAAAAACCTGAAGCAAACAAATTCAATGTTCCGTAAGCAGTCTCTCCGTCACCCTAACCCTCAACTCCCACCACTCTCCTGCCTATCCCCTGCTGCTATTCCCCTCCTTCTCGCACTCTTTATCCTCACCCATCTCCACCAAAGTAACTAAGCAACCAAATACCCTCTGCATCAGACCCATACAATTCTATTAAACTGCTAACTATCATTAATCTCCCTGGCCCCGGTGTTTTATCCATTCACTCTTAACCTTTAATCTCACCGAATCCAGTCCAGGTTTTAATCCTCAATCTTCAAATTCTCAATCTCAATTCCAATTTCACCCCCCTAACTCGGGATTAGAGACAATAGAATAATCTATCAGACGACAACTACAAGGTAGGTACAGAATAACGTAATTAACCATCGAGTCGCGAATACTACTGAGCTGTGAAATTTAAATCCTTTTGAACTTGCTCTATTTAGTGTATCATTTTTTCATCACTATCTCAAAAAAAAAATATAAATAATAATATTAATCTATAAAAATGAAAATATTAAATCAATATTAAAAGTTCTAAAGCTAGTTAATATTTCTGAATCTATTCTATCCTTCTGACTTAAAGAAATCAAACTACGTTTAGAAATTTATATCAATAGTTATAAATTGAAATCTACTGAAGAATCAACTCTTGTGAAGCAATTGCTGGAAATTGATGAGTGAAAATCAGACATTTTATATGAAATAATTCAATTTCCACTTCATAATTAACTGCAAAGTTCTATAGTAAATCTAGTCAACTGGGTTTATAATTTTGTCAAATATTATTCTGAGCTGCAAACTTGATAAATAGTATATCAGTGTTACGGCTTCGATCTAAACGCAAATGATCGTGTTTTAGATTGCTAACTAGTAAGCTGTTTAATGGGTAGGTGATTTTTAAAGAGGGTTTGGAGAAGGATTTTTTTATATGCTCATTTCCGCTGGGTGGTTGCTGGGCGGTTGCTAGGCAGTTTCTGTATGCCTTTTCAGACCATCACAATTAGTATATGAAGCAGAAGAATTTACTAGTCATTAAAGAGTATTTTCAAATAGTTAATTATTTTAAAAATTTATGAAAATAATATTAAAATATTGATAAAATTGACTTTGTAATAACTACTTAAGTTTAAAAATTATCATTTTAATTGAAAAAATTAAGAGATCAAGAATAATTATTCTAAAAAAATTATAACTAGTTATTTATTATTGATAATTATAGAAGTTATTTAACTGTAAAGTTTGATACTTTTTATAATAAAAATATAATTATCTATTTTTATATATTATCTCATATCTATTATTTTTTTCTATCACTTGATGTTGATAGTTATTTAAATCACATAACTTAACAATGTGATAACTGTAAATTATAATTAAATTAATAAAACTTTATATATCTATACTTAACTTTCATGAATAGCAGAACCATATCAACATGATGTAGATGGTGTATCAATGATATTTATATATATATATATATATACACTCTTATCTTTTTAAATATTGATATTTAATTTAGTCAAAATATTTAATAAATTCATTGAAGTTAAAATAAAATCAATTATGATAATATTTTTCTTGAAGATTTTTCTTCAGCTATATATATCAACATCATCAATTATTGAATTCTCCTTTAGATCTTTAAGTTAACATATATCTCAGAACTTCCATCAGCCAGAACATTATGTAAAAAGCTTGCAAAAAAACTTTGCATATAAAATCTCTCTAGCAGCTTAGTCTCTTATATTAATCAATTTAAAAAAACCACTCAGGTATCAATCAAGATGAATCTGTTTTTATGACAAGAAGCTAAAGTGTTTTAAGACTGAGAATGAATGAAAGACTAAGTAAAAGACAAGAAGAACTAGAGCTACTCTTAAGCAGCTCAATCTGCATCTTGAAAAACAGAATTCTGATTTGTTAGATGTCTCTTGACAGTGAGCTCTGCCACACTACAGTGCCTGTCATAATATTGATCATACAATGAGAAGCTGTCCTAGTAAATAGCAACCTACCTCTGTACTCCAATCAATTACTTTTTTGAAGTTGTGAATAAAATGCTTCAAAATTGAGTGTATTACATTAGTTCAGAAAGTCTAGATTTCATTTTACTTTTTAACTAACTACCCCGCGCAAAATATATATATTTGGCCCATAAATGAAGTGTGGGGTCTCGTAGGAACCTTAAATTCCCTAGACGTCGTGAAAATTCCAAATATCGGGACATACAGCAGCTACGGAATCCGGCATCTGAAATTGAAATGTTGGAAGTAGTTCTGTGAGAATTATTATTATTATTATTATTATTATTATTGCTCTTGAACTATTTACTTTGAATGTCGGTTTTTAAAACTCATGAATTCACCTAGACACTCTCAATTGGATGGATTTCATTCTCATAGCTAATAGCTACCAAGGTACCTATCTACCAATATTCCTCCCTTTCTCAGGTTTTGTTATATCATGGCGCCAATAACCTAGTTATAAGTTCGTAATTTAGTAATATCATTAACTATATTATGGATAAAATTCCATCCTCAACCTATCATGACCAAACCATACAACACATCCTTTGATTCGAACCAGGCCAACCCCACCAACCCCTTTTCGTCTTTGTCTCCTTCCCTCAACCCCCAAACATATGCACCAAGTCTCTTTGCCGGAATGCACGATTTATCATAAAAGTTTGTACTACATGACCACCCAAAGCTTGGTCCTCGATAAGAACAAAGTAAAAGGAGATGAAAAGCACAACCTGCAGTTGGCCCAAGATTATCTTTGTAGTGAAGGTTTTTGTCTCTCTCAATCTCCTCTGCACTGTAACAGAGACCCCAGTAAACCTCAAAGAGCGACATATCTTGATATATTCATGTATTTTATTCCCACCGGCCGCCCGCTCCTTACGAGCATAAAGTGATGTGGATGTTCATTCAAAACGGGAACAAAAGATAGAAAGGGGAGAAACTCGTAGTCCCAATGATAATAACATATCTACCTGAGGAACCCAAAGTCATGCAGCGGCTGAGGCATAATTTCACATCACGTATGTCCACGTTAACAGAATCTTAGTCTTCGTAAGAAAAGAAAGTCGAAGCCAAAAACTTATCTTAGCAACTGATATAAAAAACATGAAGTGACAGGTGATTATAACTGCATCCAGCTACACCCACGGTCTCCACCGTGGACCTGAGCGTGCATTTATAATTACTTTTTGCCATATTGTATCAAACACATCAGCAAGATCGATCGTCCAATCGTCAACTTCCACTTCGAGGTTAAGACGGCGTAGGCGCAAGGGATCTGATTCGGTGGGGTTGTGGGACATCAGAGAATGTATGCTGGGGGAGCGTAGAGCAGCGCAAAGAGCCGCATTTGCTAAGCCCTCCCTGCCGCGATGCCAGCGGATGGATGCAAGGGCACCACCTACAAAGCAGGAGACCAGCAAAACATCGGATCTAGATCCTGTGGTTTGCAATGTAATGTGCAAAGCACACCAAAAGTGTTTTTTTTTCTTTAAAAAAGTGAAAAATAGAGGGGGGAATACCCCTATTTCTTCCCTTTCCCCTTCCGCCTTCTCCTCCCGCCTCCCTCAGGCTCCGGGACACTAACAGTCCCCTCAATTACATCCTCCCCCTGCCCCTTCAGCCTCTCCACTCCACTAATAAAAAAGCTCAAATCCCGATTCTGCTCCTTCAAATCCTCATTCGCAACCGTCAACTTCTGCACCTCCGCATTCAGAAACTCAATCTTCTCCATCAAACTACCATTCATAGCTTTCTCCTCCCGCCACTCCTTCTCCATCCGGTGAGCCATCGTTTCCAATTTCTCCGCCCGCCGCTCTGCACGGCCTTTCTCCCGTTCCAGGTTTGGAATGGTCTCTTTAACAAGCGTATCATATTGCGACTGGAGCGTGCTAAGGTTTTTCACCGCCGCTTCAGCCGCTTCTTGCGCGGCAGTGGCAGCTGCGCTAGCGACAGATGCTTTATCAGCTGCGCGCTCGACAACTTCTTCGAAATATGTCCGTTGGCTCTCGAGTTGGCTGGTTAGCAAATGCGTGTATTCAACGCTCATGTTCTCCAGTTTTTCGCGTGGGACCGCATCGGCCCAGTCTGGTGGATCGAGAGCACTCTCGCCTGCGGCGGGTAATTCCACAAGCTTGCCATCGGACTTATTTTGTATAATCCTATGCACGTAGCCATCACCCACATAGTCCCAGACACGCTGTGAAGCTAGATCCATGGCAAATGCATGAGAGGTTTCCTTGAAGTGCGCAAATGCGTGAGCCTCGTCGTAGCGTCCACAGCCCACATTCCCGCATATCAAACATAGCCAAAGATTCGCTTCTGAGTGGCAGACTTGACACTCTGTGAGCTCCTGGTCGCAATCAAAGTGTGACGCTGCTCTCTTGCCAAATTCGTCCTGCGTATACCGGCACACGGGACATCCGCTGCCTTTCCATTTTTGTAGGCACGTACAATGGAAGACATGTTGGCAAATTATCGTAAGCAAGCCTGTCGTTTCATCCATGCGCTCCAAGCAGACGGGGCATGTTGGTAGCTCTATGAGTGATGGTGTAGGAGGAGCTAGAGGTTTAGTGGATAACGAGGACGTAGAAAGGGTAGCAGACTGAACGGGCGACGAATTTGAGGGCATACGGGTATGGTTCATCGTTGAGGGCGTGAAGGGGTCGTTATTCATGTCCGGAAACTTGCTCTCTGTTCCAGGAGCTTCGACCTGGATCTCTACAGTCTTCACGAACACCACATGGCACGTTTCGGACTACAAAAGAGGACAAAACAAACAATCAGCAACAATCTTAAAACAACCAAGTAATCAACAAGCAAAAATAAATAAAAATACAATAAAATAAAATTCAAAATTCAGGTATAAACTCACCTCCATAGAATTAAAAACTTTCCCATTCCAGTCCCGCTGCCACTCCTTCGCCCTCTTCCCGCTCCGAAATTTCATCAAAACCATATACCGATTTGCCCGCGCGGTCCTAACCATTCGAAAATGACTGACCTCATCACGCGTCTGTTCCCCCACAAACCCCAAAAAGTCCGATGGAGACATATACGACGGCACTGCGAGTATACACAGCGTCGTGCAATCCTCCACAGAATGTGATGATCCAGCGCCACCTCCAGACCCAGATCCAGGTCCAGCAGCTTCAATATCCCCCACCACATCCGCACTGCCATACTTTCTATTACCACTGTTGTTATTACCAATGCCACCAACATTTCCATCAAGCATCGTACTGCGCGCCAGCGCTGACCCTTTCAAAAACGACGGGTCATCATCACCCTTGTAGAGCGCAGACGACTCCTCTACGTCACGGTATAGATGCACTATACCCCATGCGCTCTCTGAGACTTTCTGGTCGAGCGGGATATATTTGCCCTTAGTAGCTAAGCCACCTATGACACTTGTCCCGATGCCCTTGGCGATCTGGTTGCCATTCGCGCTATCACCGTTGTTGCCTTTTCTAACCTGTTGTTGGGGGATTTCTGTCTGCTGTTCGCCCTGGCTTTGGCCCTGGCCGTTGCTCCGCTCCGATACCACCATGTCGATGCTTGCGATGGAGATCTGATCTAAGCGTTTGTCGTTTGCGAGTTTAGAATAGGAGGTAGAAGACGAAGTAAATGGTGAGATGGCAGTTGAGTCATCTAGTCGTTGTGCGCGATATTGATGCGGATAAGGGCCAGCTTGCTGAGAAGCGCCGCGAAAAGGTGTTGTGCTCACAGTTGCAGCGGTGGGTGTGGTGGTAGTGCCCGACGAGGCTCGATATTGGATAATGCCGTTCGTATCCTGATCTATTTACAAGTAAATGATTAAAAACGATACGATAAAGGTAACGCTTTACTTGCCTTCACCATCTTTCTCCCAAAAATATATATAATTCACATATCACCGACTCCATCCGCTTTCAGAACTCAATACAGGATAGGGATCGAAACTCACCAACCTCCCTTAACCCCGCACTATTTCCCCCAACAACACTATTTCTACTCTCCCTCAGAAAACCGCCGTTGCTATAGCTATAGCTATCCCCCTTCACCCCCTTCCCAGCTCTAAGCCTCTTCTTCTGCTGAAAGGGCTGAAACGCGTCTCTGAAAGTTTGAATTATATGCTGATCACTGTGGCTATGATTGCTATGACCGGACGACGATGCGTGGGGTTCAAAGGATCTATCGTTAAGGGACTGCGAATAAGAATTTAACCTAGGATCCGGATTGCCAGATAGTAATTCCAAAGATATATGGTAGAAGTAGGAGGGCATGGCCGGATAATAGATGGAAGATCCAACTACATCACATCTTCCTCCCAGGATGACATGACCTTTTATTCGTCAGATGTGGAGGTGACCAGTAGTTGTATAAACGATAGTTTTTTAAATGCTATTGCGCTGTTGTTGTTTTGAAGATCCAAAATATGTGATTGATATGACTCTTTTAGAATTCAGACAAATGGATGTAAAGCCAGTTATCATGTGATTTATGACGCTACCTTCCTGGCAGTATGTTAAAACGTATGTGAATTGCTTACATCCCGAGATTGCCACGAAATGAATGGCAATAGAATAATAAAGTGGCAAGAATAGAAAATTTTAAGTGCTTCAGAAGATTACATTCTACGCAACAAGGAAACGTCACGAACAGAATTGGCTGAGGAAAGAATGTATCCAAAGCGAAATAGGAGTTCGTATCTGAGTTGTAGTGAAGGAGGATATGAAAGAAGTTATTGTAATAAGCAGTTTAAGTAAATGAATGCATCCCAGTCATAAAAAATTTCGAAACCCCATCATGAAATATTCCATCCCTCCATAGACGCCAGAGCCGGTAATGGTGAAAATTATTTCCCCAGCCGTAGAAAAGACAAGTTTAAAAACAAAACACCAAAAACGCAAGAAAACCAGAAATTCAGTGGCCACCACGCAATCTCAGGACCAGATGGAGAGTGCTCTCCTTCTGGATATTGTAGTCCGAAAGAGTCCGGCCATCCTCGAGCTGTTTACCAGCAAAGATTAGACGTTGCTGATCCGGTGGGATACCTTCCTTATCTTGGATTTTAGATTTAACATTATCAATGGTATCGGAGCTCTCAACTTCAAGCGTAATAGTTTTGCCGGTCAGGGTTTTAACGAAGATTTGCATGCCACCACGGAGACGGAGGACGAGATGAAGAGTGGACTCCTTTTGGATATTATAATCCGAGAGAGTACGGCCATCCTCGAGTTGTTTTCCGGCAAAAATAAGGCGCTGCTGATCGGGGGGGATGCCTTCTTTGTCTTGAATTTTTGATTTGACATTGTCAATCGTATCTGAACTCTCGACTTCAAGTGTGATGGTCTTTCCGGTCAGGGTTTTAACGAAGATTTGCATTCCTCCACGCAGACGAAGAACCAAGTGAAGAGTGGACTCCTTCTGAATATTGTAATCAGAAAGGGTACGACCGTCCTCAAGCTGCTTGCCGGCGAAGATTAGGCGCTGCTGGTCTGGAGGAATGCCTTCTTTATCTTGTATTTTCGACTTAACGTTGTCGATGGTATCGGATGACTCCACCTCTAGGGTGATGGTCTTCCCGGTGAGAGTTTTGACGACTGTGCGATATTTAGTTATTTGTTTTTCATCATCGAGCAAAGCCCAAAGGCCATGACTCGTGAAAGACTGTATACTTACAGATCTGCATGCCTCCACGAAGACGAAGAACCAAGTGGAGAGTTGACTCCTTCTGAATGTTATAATCAGAAAGGGTGCGACCGTCCTCCAACTGCTTGCCGGCGAATATCAGACGTTGCTGGTCAGGAGGAATCCCTTCCTTGTCCTGAATTTTGGACTTGACACCATCGATTGTATCTCCCGACTCAACGTCGAGGGTTATAGTCTTTCCGGTAACTGCAGCAGAGGGTTGGTTAGTTATCCTGTCTATAATCATTGCATAGAAGAACACAAGAAACGATGGAGCAACTCACGAGTCTTCACGAAAATCTGCATGGTGGTGGTGTGATAGCTTCAGTGCTTACGATCTAGCTCAACTTTGAAGAGTGAAACGAGTTATGATGACAAATAGAAAGGAGGAAGTGCGAGTGAGAAAACGGAACAGATGGACGTCTAGGATAGGTGTCAAACGGGGATGCTGAGGATGGAGAGGAGGAACTTTGACTGAGATGGTTGTTGTAGAGGAGAATAAGAAGATGAGAGAGAAGAGGAAGTTGGAGGAAGATGGTGGAAAACGGGTGGTTTTAAGTAGAAGCCGCAGCCAGCCTGAGAGCAAGCGGCGTGATCACGTTGGTTGGGGGGCGAAGTTGGCTGGATTAGTCACCCTAGAGTCACTCACTTAGTTTAACTAAAACTAGTTAGTTAGTCAACCGGTTTCACTAACTAACCAGTTGCTGCCTGTTGCTGGCCACTCACAGCCACACAAAGCGTACCGCTATACCGTATTGGCACTAGCGCAGACTTGTTCCCCTATGACGTCTGGAACTCGGAATGACTCAGCATGTGTCAAAACATTCAACCTTGGGGAAGATCACACAGAGAGTATATTGTTCTGCGTTCACAATAAAGACTGGTGGTCAATAGTTGTGGAAATTATGTATGTACGATCTGGCTCTGGTCGCGGTGACTGATAGGTTACACTTCTTGCCTCTCCAACATGCTCCTTGATGAAACGTCTCAAGTGCGGATTGTGCCTCCATCAAAGAAACACCCAGGACTTGGAATATGCCAACACCCAGCACCATCAACTCCAACAGTTGGCATGAGTTAAATATTTCTTTAAAATGAATTTCTTGCCTTAGCTACTCACTATTTCTTTACTGACCAGTCATTGCCGCTTGACAACAGTATCTCATTGATAATGGTGACCATCGGACGTGCAGATTCCCCTCTTCCCAACAATAGATGTCGATTGTTGTTGGCTTCGTTCTCTCGAAAATAGCTCTCTAACTGCTATCAATTGTTTCAGCTGCAGTTCGCTATCCAAATGCTGCAGTGTGAACAAGAAAGGGAATGAAAAGAAATAGGCAGCTAACTTTTCAACAGCAACCAAAGCCATGTGAATTGAGCTATATCAAGTGGCTAACTGGATGAAGTATTACACTCTTTAATGAATCTTAAGCTTTAAGCTAACTGTGAGCTATTATATTGTTAACATCTACCTAGACACCGAGTTGTCGGACACAACAAGAAAAAGATAAAAAGGTAAAGACCGTTACGCCCTGAAACGCCAACACTCAACATATACCTTTGACTCAATTCCCCTTAGATACAGTTCATACCCATGAACTTATCGTATTGAACACAGCTCGTGCAGCCTTGAGACAAGCAGAAAGCGCTGTTTCTGCAAGTAAACGCACGGCAATTAATGTTAGGAGTGAGCCCGCCTTTCGCATTCTTTTTTTGGAGAAGGGCGAGGTTTTCCTCCTCCACCATTTGAAGGGAATCTTGAAACTCCGGGTTCGTCAGCCTGGTTGGGAGTATGTTGTAGGGCGGCGAAAACAAATCCTTCTCTGGAGTCTCATGGCCATTGACTCCAGCCCAGACCTCTTCCAGGTGTTTTTTGGCTTCAGGGTCTGTCTGAGTGAAGGCAACTTGCATGAGCTCGTCGTTGGTCAGTCTTAAGACGTCAATCACATTGCCGTTTCTGTCGTAGGATCGGCCGATTCCATCATCGCCCACATGCTTGAAACCGTGGGGGTCGGTTTGCAGCTCACGTATAAGTGTCATCGCATCCGGCTTCCTGCCCTGCAAACGTATTAGCTCATAGCTCTACCTCGCCACATACATACTTCTTTACATTGAAAGTTGGAGGGTATGTGGCATGCAAGTGCAAGCTGGCGTTTAACTCACGTTGGGGCCAGCATCAACGCCGACACCCTAGATCAATGAGGTTATATCAGTTCATTTGTCCCCCCAATTAAAGAAATGCAAGTCGTTAAGCTCTGAGATCTGGCTCCATGGTTATATACTTACATTCAGCGGCGTCCCCTGGACAGCAACAACACCAAGGAGTGCAAGATGGATGCACAATAAAAGCTTCATATTGAAGAAGTTATATCGCAATGCTCTCAAAATTAATTCGAAATCACAAGAGTGTTTCCTCGAAAGTTACGTTTTGTTTGCGGGATATGTTTTACAGATACAGAACTCGTACAAGATCAAATAAGAAGAAATTCTCAAGGACAGATGAAGAGGGCGATTCGGTTTTTTAAAACCTGCCATCTATTATGCGTTAATTTTTGACAAGAAGCGAATAAAATATGACTTGAATATTTCACGACAATCCAACCACAGCACAGAAATACCAAACTTTTCAGAAAACCACCTGATAAACAAGATCTTGAACGCATGGAGTGGAAGGCATCCAAAGTCTGGTTCGGGTTAAGTGCCTAGCGGGCCGCACTAAATAAAGTTAAGACTAACGACAACCCTAACTCAATTTTAGATCTGAAACTTCCTATAGGCCAAAACATTCCCACCATTCTAAATTGGATATAGCGTTTCTTTAGCTCAGGTCAAAATTTTTGGTAGCGAGCACCCTATATGGAATAGTTACAGGGTATTGTTACAGTGCATGTACAGTTGCAATTTAGGTATCGCCTCTTATTAGTGTATCAAACGGAAAGAAAGAAAAAGTAATAAAACAGACAGTGCCAGGTAAAAGTCTTTGGGTTATTTTTTATTTGACTATTTATCCATTATCCTGCACCAGGATATTGACCTCTATCATAACTTGATTCTAAAACCTGAACAAATTTATTAAATAACAATACTAAATAAGAAATATATATTATTAGTATGATTGTTTTCTTCATTCAATGAGCAATTTTGAATTATATGATTCTCTTTTCTACACTTGATATATTTCTGTAAAATTCACTTCTCTGATTTTAACTCACTCAATTTAACTCTTTTATATAAGTTTATTTAATTGTCTGAGTTTATTTAACATTTTTAGTATTCATTGAAACTTCATTCTCAGTCATATAAATGTATTTTTTTTACTTTTTTTTACTTTTTTTTTTTGATATTGATAGTATATAACTGATGATTTTCTTCTATTAAAATATTTACATTGTTTATAGTTGATACTTTTTTATTAAATATTTAGTTACTTGATAAGTAAGCTCTATACACAGCACTGAAGAAATTATTTGACCTTTTTATTTTTATTTTTACTTTCATTAAATAATATTGTTAGAGATCTTTTAGTTTCAGAAGTTTATTGATTATTAAATCACTTTAAAGATAGATCTATAAAGCTAGATTTATAGATAAACAAAACTTTCTATAAATTAAATAAGATTAAATTTATAACTAAGTTTAAAGTTTATTTATAATAATTAAAGCTTTAAAAAATTTAGTATGAGCAGTAATATAATATATTAAAAAACTTTTATATTTATATAATTAATTTTTAATGTTATATTCAATTTAATATATAAATTATATATCTTTTTCAGTGAGATTAAATAGTTTATATTTAATAATTAAAATAAAATAAGAAATAAAGCAATAAATATTATAACAATTCATATAAAATATATTAAATTCAATGATTATATGATTTTTAATATTTATTTAATATTAAAAGTTTATAATTTATTATTATATAACGTTCTATATTCTGATTAAGCAGTTTATGATTGAATTATTCTCAATTTGTCATTAATTCAGTTATTTTCACTGATTTTTTTATTGCTCAATTTAGTGAGTGATTTTATATTAAAGAGTTTAATGATTTTTTTTTGTAATAATTATATAAAAAAGAATTAGTTATATGTATAAATTAATTCAATCATTATTACTTATTTTATATTATATAACTAAGTAGTAAAATATTTACTAGTTTATATAGTCTTTATTATAAACTCTTGCTATTAAAATTAAATTTATATAGTTAAATATTAATTTTATATTTTATAACTATACTTTTTATTTATTTAAATTAAGTATATGCAATTTTTTAATCTTAATAAAAAGTTTATTGATAATTATATTTATATATAAATTTATATTCAATTAAGATATTAATTTATAAAATACTTAATATTTTTTCAACTATTTTTGAGTTTGAGAGAAGTAAATTAATCATATTTCATATATTTGCAATTCAGAGAAATTGATTTTACTTATTCATGAATGTTATTTATTAAACTTTATATATTTTTTTATAGTAGAGATTAATTTTTGATGTTTTTTTTTGAGAATTTAATGTGTTTGTTAATTCTATAATATATAAGAGAAATTTGTATAAGAAATATTATATAACTTAGCAGCAGCTCAGATTCTAGTAAATTGATCATTTTTATAAAATTGAATGACTTTTACAAGCCTTTTTTCTTGATTTGAAGCTTTTATATTAGGAGAGCTTCACATATTGAATTCATTAGTTGAGGACGTGTGAAGTTTAATATGGCGTTCTGGTAGGAGATGTTCCGGCAGAGGATGAATTACGTTACATACTTATGTAACTACAGTAATTAGTTGTTTTCACTTTCAATTACAAAACAATCCAATCCCTTGAACTGGGTCCTTGAAGAGGTCAGTTTGCAGATGTCTATATTGTGGTTTATAAGCTTCATTCTCCCCGGCCGAGCTAAACTTAAAACGTTACATGGCCATCGAGGTAGCACGACAACGTTTGGCCCCAGAGAAAAGGGTGTGAGTGTACCCCGTGTTCCACTGCTTCCGCTCAACTCAAACGGAGGAATCGACACACAGAGTAGTAGAAATTGGGATGAAGGGAATAGGTTCCTTGGGAGGCTTGAAGCCAAAGATTTGAGTTCTTGTATCAACAGCATATAAATCATACCATCTGAGTCTTGCATATTAATAACGTAATCGATAAGCAAGTCGGCCACATAAGCAAGTCAGCCACTTTCCTCCCCACTGCACAACAAGAATGCCTTCAAAGTCTCAACTATAAAGAAAAACTAGCAAATTACATTATAAATTATTTCCTATAAACTTAGAGCATGTATGGACAGTATGCTCAATAATCCACATACACTACACTGTGGTGCTGCACATTTTTGTGATCATGACTCAGCAGTCTTAAACTACCCCCTGCTCCCATTCATTGATTCTTTGTACACAATTCAAGCCTTCTTCAATTCTCAAAGCACTCTCTTGAGCTACATATGTATAGCCTCTTTCTCACTTCTTCTTTTGTTTGGCATTTGCAGCTCTTAACTCCCTGTTTTCAGCTGCTAGAATAGCAGCACTGTGCATTGTCATTTGACACTCCTTGATCAGCTGACTTAGAGCATAATTGGTTGAACTAAGTGGGCTCTGCATATGATACTTGATATATCCTTTAACTTTCTCAGCCTGCTGTTTCAATTGGTGTATATTATGCAGTGTAGCTGTGGCCCAGAAGGCCTGGAAGCTATAAGAGATCCCTGGGAAGGTGAGAATATGCATCATGATATTAAGTTATGAGAGAACTTGCTCAGAATCATATGAAACTAGCTCAGCAGCTCTAAAGCTACTCTTAATGTTGCTCTCAGTCAGGGCCTGCATCTGAGCTGCAGAATAGAGATTTAAAATCTTTTTTTTGTCAATATGATTGATCTCAAGCTGCATTTGATTTTTTATCTGCTATTTGTATATAGTTTTCAGAGATGAGAAACAGTCAACATCTAATGACTGAAGAATATGAGAGAAATGTGATGATATGCAGAGGGCAATGATCTGATTCTCAGTGTAAAATTGATCAAATTCTGCTGAGGCATAGCTTCAGTGCCAGTCTAGAATTAACAGTTGATATCTGTCCTTTATACAAAGTAGAATCTTCTTGTTAAACATCTCTTTCAGCTAGTATAAGCTCAGCTAGTCAGTGGTCTAGCCATTCTCACTCACACAGTCATGTGGTAGCCTTTCTGTCTCATGCTAGCAGGATTAATGCATCTTTCCTTTGAGAATAATCATTATATGCAAAGCTCAGTCAGTTGCATTGACTTTAGCAATAATAGTCATTTATTTCTGATCTTCAAACTGTACAAGCTTGAAATTCTCAGCTCTTTCAGATTCAGTCATTATTCTGACAGTTTCAATTACACTTATCTGAAACTCAATCTCATCAAAATTATAGATATCATCTTTCAGAATCTCATATTTCATAATAGTATTTTGTATAAGTCTAAATCATTTATAGATAATCTCAAAATTTTCATATAAAACTTACTAATGATTATAATTATATAAGAACTTGAATTTCAGCTTATCATGATGTTTGACAAAGTTTTATACTCAGCATTTACTCATTGTAAGTGAGGGATTGAATTCTCAGCTGACAAGAAGAAGATTGATCATTTCTCATACAGCTGCAATCTGAAAAGACTAATCTCATTTATTTATGATCAGAATTCATTGAACAAGAGATTCTTCCTCTGTAAGACTAAGTTTCTGATTCTTTGAGAGAGTATTAATGTATGCTGTACAATCATATACTCAATCATTTAGAGTGAAATATGAAACATCATACAGCTTTGCTGCAGCTTATACACTTAAAATTTAATCATTTTTAAATACTTGAATGACTAAAAAAAGTCTTTCTTTTTGAGTAGAGACTTTATTTCTTTGTGTGATTGACATTTTTGATGATGAAGATGTTGTTCTGAAATGAGATGAAAAGTGACTGACTTGCTTATATAGCTAACTCATTTATTAATTATGTTAGTTAACTAGTTAGCTAATGTAATTTCACACTGAGTCAGTCAGCAAATTTACTGTATCTCAACTATATAGTTTTTAATTCAAATTATCTCAATACAATAAAGCTCAATTAAATTAAATTAAATTACACTTGATTGAGAGCATCTTAGTTTTATATGCTCAAGCATTTTACAATTGCTGTATCTTTGTAGCACTTGTATACATGCTGCAAGCTTAGCAGCTGAAGACTTGAGAAGTTAAATAACTGACTGTTCAATAAACTCTGCAGGCTCTATAGAATCTACTAGAAGATTTTGAACTTTTTCACTAGTTAAATCTTTTACTTTCTGCTCAATTCAGTGCTTAAATCTCTTGCACTTTTGCTTTTCTATTTCATTGATGTTGAATATATCCTAGTATTGCTTCTTCATAATTGTAATACTGACTACCTCATATTCACAAGTCTTGAGGCTAATCCTTTACTAAGCTCTTGATCTTATTTGCCTGCCAGTGTAATTGCTAGAGATTACTAGGTGTTTGAAGTATTCAAAATATAATTGAATTGCTAGAGCTGCTACATGAGAAGGTAGAAATTCATAGTTGAATATCCAGCTGCTGAAGGACATAGTTAGACTGAAAGAGCACTATTCTAGTTACCTTGATGTTATTTTGAATAGTCTAAAATTTGAAGGCTATAGTGTGTACTGCAGAGTAGATATCTAGAAAATCTATTTTTTAAATAACATTAAATTCAAGCTGCATTTACCGCTGAACTAGATCTTCATATGCTCACTTTAAAATTGAAAAAATATCTACATCTAGTGACTGCAGAAGGTGAGAGAAATTAAACAGCATGCAAAGATATATTATAGCATTATTCTTGCAGATTTAGTTAAATTCTGAGATAAAATGACTGCTGTATCTATTCAGAATAAGAAGAATAAATCTGCTAACTCTACAAGAATCTAGTGCTGAAATAAACATCTATTGAAGCTATTTCAGATCTATTTTATCAGTAGTCTAGCTATTTGGACTGACATCTAGTCTCCAGTCTTCTAGAAGACCTTCAAACTAATCTTTCAACAAGCCTTGGCCTTTAAAGATGAAATAAGAAGGTAGAGCCCATCTTGATGCATTGACTGATTTAATTACAGTCACTTATTCACCGTTTTCAGGCTGTAGGAGCTTTGCTCTATCATAGTTCTCACTACTAGTAATGATCTTAATAGTGACACAGAGCCTCATAGCAAAGTCAGTCTCATCAAAGTGGTATATATTCTCTGATACAATCTTATACTCAGCAATTGTATTTTTTAAAGTCTTAAATCAATTCTTTATAACCTGCTGATCTTTACACTTAGCCTGATCATGATTATAATGTCTGGAATAGTGGCTTTAGAGCTTCATACAATGTTTAATCAGTCTTGAAATCCAGTTCTTGCTGATCTAAAAGGAGGAGGTAGTGAAGACAATGGAATTCTATAAGATAAGAAGATAATTAGTAATATCTTCAACAAATGCCAGCTAGGGGGGAAATTTTTATTTAGCTTAGTCCAGCACTCATTCAACTAGATTATTCTCTTTAGCAGCAGATAATTTGTGAGAGTTTGCATGTAAAATCACCCATAAGGGCTGGTACTTGAGGTGATATTGAAGAGTAGATCTAGATATATTAAATAGCTTTACAGCTTCACAAATTGAGAGCTTTTCATCATTTTGAATAGATTTTATCATGAGTTTTTTTGTATTTTGGTGGCATAATTGCACATTGAATTGAATAAGCAGTTAAATTAGTAGGTGGAGAAATTTGATGACTGACTCAGTATGATGGCCAATTTGATGTGAAATTATATTAACTCAAACTAATTTGAATCTGTCAATCATAGATCTCTACATAACTAGTTGATAATAAGTCATTATTTGAGTTCAGAGACTTGCTATAGAAATAAGCTCATACATATGAATGAAATCAATTGATTTTGTTTTTAAATTTGTATATTGCATTTTAATTTATTCTTAGCTAACTAGATATTAAATCAACTAAATACTTAAAGATCAAATAAGCGTAATAAAGTTGTTGCAAACAAAATAGAGAACATTTCAATGAGTGAAATCAGAACAGACAGATGAGAAAGCAGTTAAATCTCTTAAAATGACGCTTCATAGATCATAGTTGTGATGGCGTAGAAGGGGCTCCGTCCAGACTACTCGATGGCGTACGGCCACTGGGCTGAAAAGGGTAATTGCAACTGCCTAGCAATGGCATAGCAACCACCCGACAATTACCCCATAAACAAATACCTTGTAAACATGGGAACTGCCTAGCAACTGCACTAAGGAAAGGGGCAACCACATTAAGAAAAGGGGTATAAAAACAAAACCTTCCCCAAATCCATGTTTTAGGAATCATCTTAGTATTTCATTGAAGTAGCTTATCTAGTTAGCAATTGAACACCTGTTTTACCTGCACCTAGATTGAAGCCGTGACAATAGTCTGCAACTTCATGTTCATTCACTATTTGTCAGAGACAACAAAACTACAGTTTAGCAATAACACTTGCTATACTTTGATAACTGCATAATGTTTCTGAAAGACAGAATGATGTAAAGAAGTAAAATATGAGAAGATCACAATAATGTCAATGGAATGTGAATATTGAATTGAAAAGATGAACATTTACCAGCAAAGACTAAAAAAGATATAAATGAAACAGTGCAAATAGAACTAAGAAAATAAAGAAATAATAATAATAATAATAATAATAATAATAAAATAAGCAATCAAAATCAATAAGTTTGGTTATAGACTAATTCATCATTGAAAAGTGAAGTATAATAGTGCTAACCCAACTCAAAGCATAGTCATGTATGTCATTCATGTCATGATCACCGAGGCTCCAAGCTCATTAAGAGCGTCATGTCATAGTGCATATAAAATTTTCGTGATCGCTGTCATTGCTGGATCCTTTTCCTTTCCACTTTTTATTGCAAGGTCAGAAAAGAAATGTGACGAAAGGATTAAAATATGGAAGCGAATACCATGCAGAACGTAAAATCTTATAGAATAATTATCAAAGCAAGGTATATATCACTTCGAAGAAGCGATAACGTTGAAAACACATAAAACGTATAAGAAAAGTAATCTCACAGATAATGAAATAAAAAAACAAAAAAAAAAAATTGCTTGACAATATGGAAATAAACAAAACAAACATAGAATCATCTGCAAAATAAAACGAGCGTAAGGTCCTGCCAGTCTTTCATGTGGAGCCGTTATAACATAATATGTGTGGTGTGATCGTTGGTCTCATTGATGGACGTATATTTTTTTCTCATGTCAGTCGTAGCCAATTGTTTGCTGTTTTTGGTAATTATATATTTCGCGCTTTGATTCGGGTCGTCGAATGGTCGAGTGAAGGCCGTGAACATGTAAACAGAAAAAAAAAAAAAAAATACATCATCAAAATACTTGATCAGAAAAAAAAAAAAAAAAAACAAGGGAGTTGTTAAAACAAGATACGCGGGTTCTAGTTCGATCGGATAACGAGTCTTGATATAAATTTGTTGGATAAACAGTCAAAGTCGTTCCGGTCGAAGGTAGATTTGCTGCGTCCGCGGAGATAGGACTCTGAATAGTATTATGTTGGTCAGTTTATGTTTTCGCGAGGTAAAGATAATAAAAGAAAAGGCTAAAAAATGTTACAAGTTTGTATTTGGTCCCATTGAAATAGGGCCAAACAAAAAAATGGATTGTTTGCTCTTTAGACTCACCGTATTGAGTAACATGCTGACGAACTTCTGTCATTGTATTACAGACATCGGCGTTTGAGCCAAGGAGGTGGTGATGCTTGTGGGAATCCCATTCGGTGAACGCGGGCAATTTCTGAGAGATTGCTTGGAAGAGACCGACGATCACTCCAACCGGGGTGGTTTCCATATCGGTGCAGAATTTGTCAACAGCAGCAGCATCCTAAAAATTTGTCAGTGAAGGAAACATACAACGAAAGAAATACTTGGCTTACGGGAACACGATAGTGACAATCAAACTGCATCTCCTCCCACACCGCAAGCAAAATAGAGGCGAGGAGGAAAATAGTTGGCCAGTTTTTTAGCTTGTCACCACTGTAAACGCTGGAGTAGAGAGCTGATAATTCCTCAAGCACATCCTTTTGCAAGTCGCGCCAAATCGTAGCCAAGCCACACTTTATCTGGAAATTAATCATAACGGGTGCCATGACTTTCCCATTGTATCTTGAAGTCTCATCTTCAACCCTACCAGTAAACTCCTCGAGCTCGCCTAGGCCCTCGACCATCGTAACATGCAGCGTGAGATTGTATGCGAGAATAAGCTTTAGCGCCTTTCGGATGACGGAAAGCTTTGTTCGGAAATAATATCGGAACGCACTCTTGAGCATTTGCGTTAAGAATGGCGTCCCCGTAAAGTAGTCATCTACGAATTTTTCGAAACTACCGTTCCCATCAATGTGTCTATCAAGGTAATCCGAAAGCATTGCAGGAGTGATTCCTTCCATTCCAGCAGACAGTTTTGCGGTAGCGAGCTCGAAATGGTTAGGGTCCCGCTGCATTGATTCCACCCAATCAACATTGAAACACTGCTCATCGCGAACATAGACTTCGCGAGCGGTTACGGGAAGGATTTGGCCGTATCCATGGGTAACGAAGAGCGTGCGCTCGACATCGGAAAAGCCTTTGATGTTGCCCACTGAGAAACCTAGGGTGACGTGACGTTCATAATCGGCCTTCCAGTCCTTCGTGAAGTAGCCGATTTCTTTAATATCGATGCGAGTACAAGGAACTTGCCAAAGCCTGGCGTGCGATGGCTGACATCCTGCACACGGCTCTCCTTTGTCACACTATACACGATGTTAGATGTTGGAAACAAAACTGAAAGAAAGAAAGGAGGGAGGGGCCTTGTTAGTTATTAATACTATTAACGTACCGTCTTCTTGAGGAACTTGCATCGCAGACATGCCCGCAGTTTACGTATCTCACTGGCCTGTTTCCGCTGGTCAGGCTTAAGTGGACCCTTTCGCTTTCCCACGCGCTTCTCGGTCTCGGGTTTTCCAGATTGAGACTGTTTTCGCACTTTAGTCTCTGAGGTCTTCGCAGCAATGGGACTCTTGCGGGATGATTTTCTATTTGGTGGAGAAGACGATTTCTGTGACGTTGGAGATCGGGTTGGGGATGAAACTTCCTTGACTGGTATGGGCCTTAGGATTGCGACGGGACTCACGGCAACCGGAGAAGATGTACCATGAGAGCGCTGGTCACATGACAATCTACGATTAATGGCGTTATACTCCACCTCAAGGTTCGATTCGGAACTTGGGGAATTGATGATCGGGTGCGAAAGGTCTGTCGTAAAACTACCAAAGGAATTTCTTGGGTTGTGAGGATCCAAATCGGAATACGACGAGTCAGACAAACTTCTATTATGAAGAGTCTGGTTGGGATTGATAAAAAAGCCTTGTTCATGATAGGGCGAGTCGACAGAGCGGCGATGTTCGATGGCTGTCCAGCCATTATCGCTGCTTGCGCTGGTTAAAGAGCGCACTTCCAAGAAAGTGTCTGTTGGAGAACTGCTACCAGGGATACTTTGGGAAGTATAAGGCAATTCTGGCAGTCCATCCATGGTGGGAAATGGCATAAGATCCGTGTGAAGGTCGTGGAAGCTGAAGGGCATCAGATCTCCTGGGGGTGCGGAGAAAGGCATCTGATAGGAAGCGTCCAGCAGGCTGGAGTCTAGTTGGGCCTGGGTAGCACTGGGCATGAGACCGATTGGAGAAGCCTGGAGGGAAATGGTGTAGCTGGAGCTGAACTGGGAAGCAGACGAGGTCTCAGCTTGTGAATAGGGTAGGTGGTGGGCCGGTATATTTTGAAACTGCCAGTCGCTGATGAAATTAGGGTCATGAGCTATGGTGGTAGTGTCGAAGCCGTGACCGCTGGTTTGTAAGGGTGAGATATCTCTACTGCCATCGGAACGGTGATGATTGTGGTTGTGTTGATGCTGATGGTACTGGTGATGGTGGTGCTGCTGAGTCGGTCGATGGTCCACCGTCACGGACCAAGTCTGGGCAGACATGTAACCCCGAGAGTCATAATCGAGGCTGACGATGCCATTGCCGGTCAAATCTACATCTCCCATTGTGGACCGGGTGGTATCATGGATATACGAGGGGTTGGTGGTAGGAGCTGATGATTACTTATAGAGCTTGCAAGAGTGTAGTGCAGTGAGAGAGTATGTCAGTTTGTGATAGGGACGGAGAAGACGGGAGGAGAGGAGAGGAGAGGAGAGGAGAGGAGAGGAGAAGAGAAGAGAGAATGGAAGATGAGAGGATCGAGGACGGAGAGAAGTGAGGAGGTGAGGTGTCAGATTGGCGAGGAGCGAGATGTGAGTGGAGAAGGTGTGGGTCACTGGTGAGCACAGGAGAGGGTAGTTGGGATTTGTGTTGGACACGAGGGGCCGTGTGCTTTACTTGAATGTGGGGAGCCAAAGCAGCGGTGAGCCAGCCCGCGCTCTGGTTGGCCCACGCCCCCATGAGTGCCCGCCGGAGCTTGGGCCGTGGCTGCAGCGCCCAGCGCCCAGCCAGCGCTTGCCCGCCTGCCCGCTGCAGTCTTGGGCCCACGCCCCGCCCCAAGCCCCAACCCCAAGCCCCAGTGGTCCCCAGCCAGGCCGGCCTGCAGCGTACATGGCGCCGTGCTCGCCTCGTCCACTACGTTACTCGTACCTTGCCCTGTACCTCGCCAGCCAGTTCTCTGCCACACGGTACTTTCCACAACCCTCAACAACCGGGTCTGAATCAGCGAGAGTGCTTAGGGACACGCGATCTACACCAAATACCCACGGTCTTTCTGTCGCGAACGAGGCTGGGGAAAAGGATTGGCCTAGGATTCAGCGGGCCTCACATACAACTACAACCTGGGTCCTTGGACCTTGCAACCCGTGCCAATACCATCCTCATTCCATTCGTTGAAGCACGCCGTAGTTATCTTGCTTCGTTGCTTCGAATGCTTTTCCGGATGAGGCTAACTGCCACTCGACAGATTGAATATTGCCAGCATCGAGCTCGGTTTCATCACAAGATTCAGAGTGGATAAACCAGTTCATGAATATCAATATTTATCTTCAACATCAAATGACAACCGTTCTGTGAATAATTGACCCGTCGGTGAAGTTTTACTTTTTACCTTTATTTTTACGATATTTTTTGCTTGCACCCTTTCATTATGGGTTTATTTGTGGCATTTTTTATTGTGGAGATAACTACTATTAGCTACGACTCCATCCAAAAGCCCTCTTTTCGTGACCAGCCTTAACATTGAAGCCTGCGCAAAACCCAGAAAATCAAACGCTTATAAAGTGCTTAAAAAGGGTGTAGTAAACATTAAGCCCTCTGGATTCCCTGGATACTTCGACCCGAACCCAACTAACAAAGATCACCGGATCTGATGCCCTAGGTTCGATCAAGGATCGAAATCTAGTAGTGGTTCAAAATCTGCGTTTCATATTATCTCAAGCTTTGTTCGGCTAAGTTACAAAGATCAATTCCCCGAAATCTATCGATTTAACTTGCGCCCAGGGAAACAACCATGTCCTCCCAAAACGAGAGAAATAAATGTTATAAAAACAGGTGGCCGCTTTGTTGGCCAACCAAAATATTAATAAACGGGGAGCATTTGGTTATCTCATATATCTCCTTGTTGCCGATGACGTCACGTAGAGTGAAGCTATGTATGTAAGCGGGTAAGCGGTGTCGATTATTTAACAATTATTTTTTGACTTTCTCCTGCCTAGGAGCTCAGATTTTATTCCTTGATCTGGATGCTGAATAACCTGGTTCATTTCCTTCTCACCATTCGGAGATACTATACGGCTGTCAACCAAGCAAAATATGAGCGAAATCAGGAAAATCAACCTTTTCACCGGGCCAAAAACAAGAGACAGATATATATGTTCCCCTGTTAAGAAGGGTGACTGCATCGAGTAAGCCTTTGGCAAACGGCTAATAATGGCCCACATTAAAAGTTACCGCATAAAAAGAACTTTTAATCGAGTCAGAAAAGAAAAGGTAAAAACATAATCATGTCAAAATTAAAATACAAATCGTCCGAATATTCAGCCACCTTACCTTCGCTAACATGAACCTTTTGCAGAACCAGGCCTTCAGTTCAGAAAGTCGTCATCGCTCTAAGTTGGTAACTCCTTGGCACCAACCTTGGAAGCCTCCACGAGATGGCACAAGATGAACACGGCTACATCCGACAGCTAAACAGGAAGATCCATCTGCCCAACAAATGATGGGATTGAAGGAATGCCCATCTCTCATCCCTCCCATCCCTTACCCTAGCTAGGCACTATTACCACGGAATTTTTCAGATACAAGCTTCATACAAATAACATTTGAACCAAGGGCTCTCAACCCAAAGCAGTTCGCTCACTTAAACACAGTTTCCCACTAGCTTCGGTCAGTGCGTGTTTGATCAATGCGTTGTCAACAGAACCAGCTATTTAACTGGGATGATCGATCATTTTCCTGCCAACTAAAATAAATGTAAAAAAGAAAGTGAAAATGATGACCCAGTCAGACTGACTCTGACTCGTTACACGCTCCTCGGACATACTATGATTTCCGCTCTATTTCCCCCACTATCTTCCTTTTGGGATATCCTAGCACCATGTTGGGGAGGGTATGGAACAACGGAAAAGAGAGGAGGAGGGGCTGAAGTAATAAAATAGTTCGCTTGCTTGCTTGCTGATATGCTGGTTCATCAACTATTTCGCCCAGTTTTGAATCGAGTAAGTATTTATTGGGAAAGTGTATGTATGTATCCTGATCATAATTTCGAAGTAGTTGATGTGGATGGGATAAAGCTGGCTGGCTACCTAGGGCTCTGCTGCGAGTCACAGGACTCCTCAAGTTTCCGATGGACGCATATTGAAGTCCACCACTATGGTTTTCTGTGCTTATATGAGATCAACCGTTATACCATTCAACGCGGGGTTGGAGGTTGGCTGGTGGTGGGGCAGCATACACGAGATCTGCAATTAAGTGCCAGCGCTAAGGTGGACAGCAATCGTATCTCTCTCGCTCCTGCTGCCCACTTCCTTTCAACAGAACCTGTCCTTCTACATCTAACAGGCGGAGTTGGTAGGAAAACCAAGCTCAACGACTGGTTAACCAGCATCTGTCATCATCTTAATCATGCTTAATGCCATATGGTACTTACCCTTCTGACAAGAAATTAAGGATGGTCATCCCCAACCGATTAACTACGATGCGTATGAAACAGAAGTTCCGAATCATGAACAGCAACGCATCGTCATTATCCGGTTTCGTTCCCCCAAGTTGAAGTATACAGGCACAAAATTCGTTTCAACCCTGAGGCACCACAGTTATTTTCCAAGGTCCTGATGGAGTATCAAATTATCGATTCGCATTCCCTGCGGGAATATCTTAGTCTGATCTTATCACTTTCAGGCGGTCTTTTTATAACCAAGGCGAAAGGTTAATTAGAGCTTGTGATCTCAAGTGAAGATCCCGTCTAGCCTATTATCTGTTCTGGTCAACTATTGGGTCGGCCAAGTGCCCTTCGTTCTCTATGGTAATCACTTGTTTTTCTCTTTGTAATCTCGGGATATTTCATACTGTGTTTATCTTCTCTTAGCATGTATTTCCATTCCTGTCAACGAAGAATACATTTATCAGACCTCCTCCCACATGAATGGTTGATGCGAGGTCGAGATACTAGCTCCAAAGCCCCCTTTTTCTAGGGATGGTGATTGGAACCTTGAAGGGGACCCGATGCGGCCATATTCGCCGTACCAAATGCGTCGTCACACCTTCCGTTCCCCTCCCATTTTTTGAAGAAAATATACACATGCACGGACTGCACCGTTGCCCTTCTTCTCTTTTTCTTCCAAGATTTAGCTGTCAGCCTTTTCGCTCACCCAACCACTTACATTGACGTAAATCTGCGTTGAGTCCCCCGTGGACATCCAGACGAGCAGTAATGTCGCCAATATAGCCATGCATTCACATACAATTCCATCTCAACGTGCAAACGAATTTCTATTCCAACACATAGCTGTTTCGAAGTTGATTCGGCATGAATCTCATAGAAAGGGAAAGCAAAATTTTGTATTTTCAAACACACCGTCCTTTTAACATACATACTCCCTCTAGACATATGCCGGTACGTCAATGCAGCCAACCAATGAACGCATGAGGGATCATTTTTCTTTCTCTTTCTCTTTCGTTTTGGGGTGGAGAAGGTGGGTTGCGGTTGACGGGGCGCAGGCTCAGAGCATGCTGCTGCTGTCAAAATAAGGTTAAATATGCCACCCACGTCAAAAAGCAAAAGGCGGAAATTAATTTGTTGCATTTTTATGCTAGATGGAGGAAGAAGAATGTATGGAAGGAATGTACGTATGTGCGTTCCCCAGGGTGAGACGACATAAGGATATATATGCACAGAAGCTGTGAATCTCTATCCATAATGGGAACTTATTGTCCTTCACTTCAGGGAGGATCGATGGCGTTAACAATGGGAAGGAGAAGCTGATTGAGAAAGGTGGTCACTTTTTTACCTTGTATTGTAGTTCCTTTCTTCTCTTTAGACTATATTTTACTCATATCTCAAGGCTCTCCTGGACTATCGGGTTGCGGGGCCGCTCTTCAGGGCCGTCGATCGATCGATTTCACAGACACAAAGCTAGAACTGGAAACGGCAGGATGAGGGAGTTTGGCCTTTCCTTTTATCTCTGCACAATTGCTCCGTAATTGCAGGATATTTCTGAAAGCTTCACGCTTTTGACGCCATTTCTCTCATCATTTTCCTGCGAGATACAGATACAAACGGGGCACCGGGAATGTCGAATAGCTATGCGGATCTAGCTGTGAGGTCATTAGAAGCGGTCAGCAACGCTCCTGTTTTGCTTGAGCATGCTATCCATCGTCTAGTGGGTAGATTAAAATATAGCAAAACAAGCTTTTACGGTTTTATCTGAGAATTTGAATGACCCACTATGTTGCACGATTGCAGCATCGAAGCATTGATTTAGTCTTTCTTTCTTTCTTTCTTTCGTTTTCTTCAGACAGGGTTCCAACATGATGGATGGCCAGCCCTACCATAACGGTTTCGGGACTTAAGCCCATCTTGTGTCCGAAGTTTTGCTTCCAAAGATGGTACATCCACTGTGTTAGATGACACCGCTTCTCGAACCTTGATAAGCGGAATTGCAATGACGAACCTACGGTGACCAGCTCTCTGTCATCTTTACAGTTTCCGTTGTCAATTTGGATACGTTTTCGTTGAAGTGGACGGGTAGGGGCTGGAAGCTGACTTTGAAAATAGAAGGCTAGGAAGTGATTTCTATCCGCAATATGGCGTATCACGGCATAACATGGTATAGTAATCGCTCACATATGTTGGCTCTATGAAAACTGTCATTGGATCAAATGCTGGGAGGTGTGCTGTTGATATTCTCCTATCATGAATACCCTTGCTCTCACGGAACCAGTGCGTCTATTCAAAGTGCGTTGCCACGCTAGTTAGCCATTCAAAAGGTCCGTGACACCAACGGTTTGAGGATGTTATCAAAAGAGATTTGCAGCCTTCGTATGGCCATCGATAGCATTATCCGCCCGAAAGAGGGGAAAGATCTCTTAGATCTGCCAAAAGACTATCCAAATCCATACCATCACGGTCGGGTAAACACACGTGTCAGACATTAATGTAAGTTTCTCTTGTATTACACATCAGTTAAGTTACTTTTAAGTAGCTCCGCATTCTTTCCCTCTTCGCCCTTTTCGCAGGTCCGATTTATTTGCGCTATCAATCCTTTCAACGGTGTTTCTAAGCATGCAGTACTTTTGTATCATCGATCAAATTCAGGTATCGAGCGCGTGGAATGATATGGCGGCTCTCCCTATGCGTCGAGTCCTGACATGAATCCGTAGAGATGACATTCGCAGTGCTGTTGTCGTGGTATCGGGCTCCTATATTTGATAAAATGCGAAACAATAGCTGTTCTCATGCAACCCCGGCCGTCGTATGAATTCAAGGCTGCTTATGGTTATGAAGGACACAACAGCTGCCACATGCCATGCTAAATGCACCTTTTCTCCGATCTATTTTGAGGTCTGGAGGATTGATAGTTTCATGTCTCAAAATAACTGGGCTTTAGGCGAAGGATGGGCCCCTGCTAGTAGCATATGATCATTTTGAAGAATAGATCTCTTCTACGGAATTTATCAAAGAGAAAAACACGAGGGATGAAAGCAAAGAGCTGAGCAGCAACATAGGTTTGACTGGTTGCTGTTATATCTGTGAGAAAGCTAAATCGATGAATAAATAAGAAATTGAAAACTCTCCAAGAAAGGTTCAAAAAATTGGGCTATGGATTTCATAGAAATTTAGCATGAAAATCCAATCTTACAGTGTTGCTGTTGTTCTCAGAACAACACTTGTAGTCCATTGTTGGTAGTAAATTTCTTCATTGGGTCCCATTCATTGCATAAGACGTTGAACAATGGCGAAACATTATTCTTTCATTATAAGCGAATTAACCAACCAACAATACAAGTAGTCAATATAATCACAAAGAAAGAGTGTGTATTGACACGTACCAAGCAGTGTAAAAGGGATTACACCAAAGTTTGAATGTTCACAAGAGTATTATGATCAGAAGAAAATATCAGCGCAGAGTCCACATTCTTATCACCAAAACCGCTAGCAAAGAATCCAACCCAAGAACATCTTCAACCACTCGCAAAGTGCATAGCAGTGTCAACACTCCCGGCGACTTAGAAAAGCAGCATGAACATAAGCAACGGCAGCTAAAAGCAGATCTTTCTCTTCTCTCTTCATCTGCTGTTGGGGAACCTTCATCCGTCTCTTCATCAACTCCCCCGCATTCAATCCGTCTGCAGAGAGGCAAGGGGGAAAAAATGATGACCGCTTCACAGAGCCGGAATGCTCAGTATCCAAAGAGTATCCCAGACATATTCACACAGCTACCCCCAATCCGCGATTCGCTGGTCACAGAGACTTCCAGAGCGCAAGATGCTACCGTTGACCAATGTCTCCCGTTCCTAATGGGGATGGCCAGTTCCCAGAATGATTCGTTCAATCAGTTCGGAGTGCCAAGGCTGGATCGGGATGCCCATATTTCCTTTTTATATGATTCATTGGAGTCTTATCCAGATCGATTTGTTGGACTTGATTCAAGTCGGCCTTGGATGGTTTACTGGGCATTGGCGGGATTGCATATGTTGGGGGAAGATGTCACTAAGTTCCGGCAGCGGTAGGTTTGGACTTCTTATTCCCCCCCTTCCCCTCTTACTTTCTTTTGATTTGCTATGGAGCGTGTATGTGGTTTACGATAATTGCATATTATTATAGATACGTAGATTTATTACATATCGTCTGTTGTTACCATTTAGCTAATTTCTCTTTTTGAACTTTCAGTGTCATAGCTACTGCTGCTCCTATGCAAAATGCTTCGGGAGGGTTTGGAGGGGGCCACGGACAGTTGTCGCACTGTGCATCTTCATACGCGATTATTCTTTCTCTGGCCCTCGTCGGTGGAGAGGATGCATTCAAACTAGTCAATCGGACAGCAATGTAAGGTTCCTTTACGGATTTTTGCATCCCTCTTGTGTCTTTATTCCCGTTATCCGAAATGCTGAAGTGATAAATAGGTGGCAATGGCTCGGGAAATTGAAGCAACCCGATGGAGGCTTTCAGGTAACCCTTGGGGGTGAGGAGGATGTACGGTAGGATCCCTGGATCATGTTCTATATCAAGTCATTGTTTTACTAATGGATTGCAGAGGTGCATATTGCGCAATGGTTATGATTGCTTTACTTGACCTTCCGCTCCAACTCCCTCTTGATTCGCCTGCTAGGCAAGCTGGTTTTGACACTTTCCTAAGTGGGCTGCCGGAATATTTGTCGAGGTGTAAGAAACAAATGACATGTGGCATCGTTTGGGAGGATCGCTGATAGTTATGATGTATAGGCCAAACCTTCGAAGGAGGGATTTCTGGAAGCCCGGGAACAGAAGCCCATGGCGCATACGCATTTTGTGCTCTGGCATGTTTATGCATCCTTGGTGCGCCCAAGGAGATGATGAACAAGTGCGTGAATAGAGTAAGTAGTGTTGTCTAACCTTGTACTGGAGCTAACCATGTCCCTAGATATATGGATCTCCCACTATTGATATCATGGCTCTCAGCTAGACAGTGCGCCCCTGAAGGCGGGTTCGCTGGAAGGACCAACAAACTAGTTGATGGTTGCTACAGTCACTGGGTCGGAGGCTGCTGGCCATTGGTCCATGCCGCTATAAATGGCATCCAGTCTGGACCTACCCCGCTGCACTCGAGATATGGTGCTCTTTTTCATCGCGAAGGGCTGACAAGATATATCCTAAATTGTTGTCAAGGACCTCATGGAGGGCTACGAGATAAACCTGGCAAGTAAGTGGATTTTCCCGCTCGTAGCGCATGTACATCTCCCGCTTATGTGCGGGGCGTGGATTGGGGTGATGATGGAATAATGGTTGTTGACATGATTTCTTCTCTTTAGACACCCGGATTCTTACCACACCTGTTATATATTAGCTGGCTTAAGCACTGTCCAGCATGATCACTTCATTACGGGAGCTGCTTCGGTCGCCACCGCCAATAATCCCTTCCCCTCGGCATTTTCCTGGTCTCATGCACCTGTAACCCCTTCAGTGGAGCAAGATCAATGGGCCATTGTTTTCGATGAGGAGGATCGTCTGGAAGTCGTCCATCCCTTATTCGTCATCCCGCATCGTGCTGCGAAGAATATGCGAGAATGGTGTGAGAAGAACCCGGTCCAAATTTGAACATAAATCTGGATTTACAGAGAGGGCGTTATAGTGTTTCGGACTGGGACTACGAAAGGCGAACCATTTACATCCTCATATATTGGGTGTGGATGAAAAATTGGGATGTTTTTCTTGTATAGTTATTACCTAGCTTTATAGTCTGGACAATTGCAATCAAAGCAAAACAAGACGAGCCATCTTCTCAGTTTGACATCATTCATTGTTACCTATATACCTAGGTAGATATTCATCCACGCCGACTGGAAGAAGGGAGATCAGATGAGTGGCCCCTCAAGCAAGTTGTGTCTTGGCGCCTCCTGGTTTTCTCAAACTGCCAGCCTCGTCGCTCGTTGTCGCACATCAAACAATGTTGACGACACACGGGGAAACAGTGTTACATCTCAAAGAAATGGGTCCTAAGCTAAATCCACTTTCTATATTTCATCTCGTGTCACAGATTTGTTGCGTCTGCAAGCATCTGTTAGCGAATTCTGCCCTGTCGCTCGAGATGCTGAGTCGGTTCGTCCTGTTTCCCCAGGTCGTGGTACAAGAAGGAGAAAGCGAGCAACTTAGTGACTGAGTGGGACAGGACAAAAGTTAATTGAATTGATTTCTTCACGTTGCATTGTTGACCCAGATGGATTTCGCTTCCTGCAGCTTCGGGAAGCATGCTTACACAGCGAATCACCTCTTGCAGGATCGGGTTGAGATTACGGAGAGTCACCAGGATCACCCAGCTTCTTCTTTAGTTAACACCTTGTTTTATGCTCCTTTGAAAACACCAAAACTGCTATTAGCAGAATGATTTCAAAGAGCTGCCCAGAGCAAGAATTTGTCTTGCAGAGTGTTTATACGAAGTTCAATACTCGAGAGCTGCCTACGCGGGGTGATATACGACACTACTGATTGGTGATTAGCTCTGGTCTCAGGCGCATACGTGCATACGTTAGTTCTGTTTGGGTATGTGACTCCACAACGGATTCAACGTCTTTTTTGTTGAACGATTACTTACATACCCAGGAACCCAAGTAGTAAACGACTTTTTCACACAGATCCTCAGCCATAAATTTCCTGTAGGCTGTGATTCTAACAATTTTCAGGGTCCCTCTGCGAGGAATAAATTTTTGTTGAAAGCAGCAAATCCACGCTGGATCCTCGTGCCCCTATGCATCGACCATTTCTGGAACATTTGCAGCCGTTTTCCCCAATGGTGGAGGAGACCAGCGACTGCCAACTCATCATTGCATCAGAATGCCTGTCACTAGTCGAACAACAACGCACAAGCAGCGCCAGTTCCCTTCCAAGGTTGCCTCAAAGAAACTCCTTTGGTTCCGTTCCGTATCGGATATCGCACCGAACGCAAACGTCGTTATTGTCCCTTTAATTCCGGTAGGATTGGGTATTTGCTGCCACTCAATTCAGCTCTCGGATCAATGCTCTTTCTTTTCTTGCCTTTCTTTCCTTTTGGTGCGGACAAATCCCAATGACCTGGTACGTTGGTCAATCCTGACGTCTGTCTTCGGCATGGTTCCCCGACTCTAGCAGAGGAGGGGCAGGAAAGGACCAAACAGGGGAGAGGAACAACGTAATAAACTGCAGGTTGTGGGGTAACCTACTAAGACAAAAGGCAACTATTTCTTTGTGCAGGCAATAAAAATATCCTGCGTTTCGCTCCAGGGTTCAACTTCAGCGCGTTTTGCGCAACGCGAATCCAACCATTAGCAGTATAAATTGCATTAGCGGAGGTTGACAATGTTCCAGGACGCTTGACGGATGGTGATTTCACTCCCGTTCTGCGGGGTCTGTACCCTCTCTGCTTGTCCCTTTATGAACGATACACCTCGTAAGACCAAATATTGCGCGCACAAACTGACGTCTTCTCTGCAGCTCTTGAGGCCCTAGGGTTCAGTTGTTCAAGCGTCCTGTCTGAGCTTGATGAGCTAATCCTCATCGCTTAGATCGACGGCGAATTAAATCTCTATAGGCTCGACAATGAAGTTCTCGATCTTGTCGTTTGCCTTCACTGGCAAAAAGGCATGCCAACACATCAAAGCAAGAAAATTCGAAAGTCGGATAGAAAGGATAATTTCTTTCCCACAGCATTCCTCTTTCTATCTGTCTATTTCAAATCCCTCGATCGAACAAACCTTAATAACCAGGGTTCATATCTATCAGCCCCACCCATATATTTGACGTTGCATTAAATCATGCTTGCTTCGCTGTCTACAATGGCTTATTTTCTCATTAGAGGTGTAGGCCAGCAAAGTTTCTTACTTTTATGTTTTTGTATCTGACATTATAGAGCCTTCCCCGCTATCCCTTTTATCGATCCATAGATCACCCTCAGTTTATTTGTCAATCTGCCAACAGCTTGTCTGTCCATAACGCTTGAGACTTCTTCAGATGTTTGTATAACTGGTGCGACGTTGGGCATCAAACCTCTTCATCCTTCTTAGGTTCAGTATACCTGAATCACGACCTCCTCTTGGGTGCTTCAAGCCTGAAGCATCGGGTATCAAAGTCAACATATTGTTCAGCTGAGCAACATAGATCCTGCTGGATCGGGATTTTTCTTGGTCGAAATGTACTACATTCAATACCTTGCGAGTATGTTGCCCTAAAAAGTTCCATGATAGAATATGAAAGCTTGTGCGAGCCGGAGAACAAAAAAAAATAAAAATAAGCTCAAATATCGATCATATGTCACAGACAACTATGCTACATCCTTCTAGGTTCTATGACGTTCAATTTTCCATTCATTGGCCATTGTTTTCTCTGTCCTTATTTCACATTCTATTGTTAACCGGCAATTTTCTGAAGAGGTGTTGCTTTCTCGTTCCAACTTTTGGTTGTATTCCAGATTGAACTGGACTCTATAGACTTTTATACCTCCCCCGGACCCCTGACTATTCATGGTACCCAAAAATTCACCACCGTTGGTTGTTTGTTTTCTTTTTCCTAAAATAAAATAATAATAAAAGAATTCTTGTCAGGCAGGAATCACCGTGGTCTGACCAACAGATGACGTTTCACAACCAATAACGTGTTTTCTATCTGCAGGTCTTTGCCGCCGTCGCCGCTGGCCAGAACCCTTTTACGAATTATATCACTGTCCCACTGGATATGGCTGCCTTGTTCGCGTTAATCATCGCGAATACCAAACGGATGTCTATTGTGAAACGGAAACCCTAGCGCGAGAGAATGCGGCTATGCGCGCCTATTTGATCTGTCGGAATTTCTCTGTAAATGACGGGATGTATCCCGCAGGCCACGACCACGGAGGCATTGTGCAGGGTATTCCCGTTGCTATTGGCACAGGCCGACGGAGCCGCTTCGGCGACGACATGGATGCGTCAGCCAGTGGTGGAAGTCGAAGTGGAGGCAGCAGCCCAGAAAGCTACGACGGAGGCCGATTGGGCCGTTACCACCAACCTGCCAGACTAACGAGAACACTTGCATATGATCCCCGAAGCCTCTGACTTCGTTCGATCGCCTTTTGATTTTGACGTAGCAAGGTCCGTCTTCTAACCACCTGAGCGGATGTCCACGATAAGACCGCGATTCGCCAAAAGCAAAAAAAAGAGGTGGAGAAACAACCTGAAGAAACTATCGCACGAAACCTGTGCCCTCTTCAAGAAAAGAATAAACAGTTGGGCTTAATGGCTTTATGATATTACGTTTTATCTTGGAAATGACTTGATGACAATGAATTCGCTAGGCGGGTAATACAGAACTGTCTACAATCTCGTTCCTACGTTTGATGATACAAAGTTAACAGCCGCAATGACCAAAAATAACACCATGAAACGATTTCTTTCCATAGATTTTTCTCCCGATATTCCCTTTTTATCCTCACCGACGCTGTTAATATACTCCAGCAAAGGAATATCGCGTACTTGGTCGCTACCTTGTTTGTGGATCTTTTTCTGTCTGCCCTCCCCCCCTCCTTTCCTCATTTCCGTGTGAACAAACGTCTTTTTTTTTTTTTTTTTTTTTTTTTTTGCAAAAACCTTTCCAAGGGATTTCTATTTGGTAGCGATACAAAGAGGGGCTGCAAGAGAAGAAGTAATGTGAAATGATTTATTAATTTGACCGTGATTTCCGTTTATATGACTCCCGGTTATTTATCTGCTATTTGCCGTTTTCGCATTTTCATAAGAAACTACCTCCCTATTGAAGGGGAAATTCTATTTGGGTGCGATTCGCCATTCAACATTTTACTAGCAAGCGAGCATATATTTCTTGCATTAAAGTCTTTCATATAGCGATTATTGCAGGATTTCCCGTGCTGAAATACCCCGAATGAACATGAAGGAGAAGATCTTGTGGTCTTGTTTTATATATATATAATTTTCCCTATTTCATCTCTTTTCCTTCAAAAGAATATCAATTATGTATTCTCCTCTTCCATCGTCTTCGGTTCAATCACGGTTGCTTAAACCTGACTTAGAGGAAATCTTTCCAAGCAAAATAGTATGAGATTTGATGGTGCTCATAATGACAATGATGATTTCAGATATATCCTTTAACAGGATAAAAGAAAATCAAATGTTTCCTTCAGCCACCTTTAGAGTTATTGCGTCTGTGGAATTGGGAGAACTTGTTCTTCGTTCCGGCATGAGATGAGAAAAGGTCAATCAAAGCATGGGAAAATAAATGGTGACCTATAGTATCAAAATATGACAAGGGCGGCTGCTCTGTCTACCTTCCCTCGCAGAAACTACATAGCAATGTTACAATAAAGTATCTTGAGCTTCCTCTTGGATAAATTGGAATGAGGCAGCAGTCGTTGTTGAGTCCTTGAGTAGGGACCACAGGTGTTGCAGATATGATGTGTGGTTAAATGCTTCTGGTCTTTCTTGGCAATGGTATTTCAAAAGTATCAACAAGCAATTACAGAATTAACGCATATGACCTGTTCAACCTCCTGCACTTCGTCCAATTAAATTTATCAGTTGAACTGTTCAAATCTCTTAAGCCTGTGTGAGTTCTACAGTCCAAGCACATTATAGTTATGGAGTTATGGAGTTAGGTAAGAGCCTCGGCTTAAGCTAACTAGCGCGTCTGAGTCTGGAGCGGTTTACTGACTATTTTAGCTGGCTAGTTTACCCCATGAACTTCACCAGCTGAAAAGTCCACCTCATCTTTCACGACTTTTGTGGGCTCTGTCTAACACGACAGGCAAAACTTCACAACCGACCATGGACGAGCAGAAAAACCACATCTGGGATATTGGGGTGTAGATGTGTTTCCTTTCCCCGGTCGCTATATTACGACTTTCTCGCTAGAAGTATTCTTGGTGTCTAGTTGGTTCGAGCCGAGAAAGATAGGAAAGGGGCTAAATGTGAAGCACAAGTAGGTAATGCATTATGCCTAGAACTTTTCCTCTGAAAGAGGCTGATAAATAATCTAGATGTTGGAAAGGCGAAATGTAGCTTTATTCTCCAACATTCATTGCCAATTGAAGGCCTCCTCCATCTTTCTTTTTTCAGGAAAATACAAACTCCAACCCAAGCCAAGATTCCAAAGAGAATGGCCAAAAAAAAAAAAAAAAAAAAAAGTCAGTCCCAAGGATAGATTCTGGGAATAAACATCAAAGATTGCTCTTGCAATTAGGCCGTAGAGAACCGCGCTATCAAATAGTCAAACCTTTTGATCGAATCGGCCCGTGAGTATCTTTGGACGGAACATGGGTGCGACGCTCCTTTGTCGATTATCAGATGCCCGAATCAAACTCACCAATCCCAGAAGATGCGTTACCGCAAACGCGGATTTGGAGACACCCCTTTGAGTGGATTGAACAGGTGGTGAGTATAAAAACAAGCTTGCTCTGCACCCGGCAATTTCGGCACCGTGATTGACCAACCGGGGCCCAACAGATGAACCGTTCTCGATCACGAAATTATAGAGGGTCCATTGAACACCACGATATCACATGTTAGCTTACCTCCAGCCAGCGGATGGGTTTCTTCACACCTTGGTTCATGTCATCGGGCCTCCGTAAGTCGAAACATTGCGGAATGGGACAGGATGATCTACAATACCAAGTTGCTCTTTGTGGATAACACCATAGTCGAAAAGCAAAGGAGAAAATAAGGAAACAAAAACGGTACCCGTTGCTGCCAATAGAAATGTGACAGTGGCCCACATCGAATAATGACAAAACCAAGAAGATGCTGAAAGGATTGCTGACTGTGGTTGAAGAGAAGAGAAATGGGGATCCGGTGAAGAACTTTTGAGAAAATCAACCCAACAAATATATGAATGTATGAATGTAAGCTCTACCCTGCAATCCAACACTGTGATATGTTGTCCAGCAACAAAGGAAAACAAAGTCCAATCCGTTATGGAACTATAGATGGCATATTAATGTGTGCCGTTCCGGACTGGATCATAGTATCCGCCTTTCTGTCTCTCACTGCCGCAGGTAGCGCCTCGACCATTCTTCGACTGGCCCCGGTCTAACAACATATGAAATGATCTATCAGTTTGCATGCGGCAAACAATTTTATGACAACGGTGCGAACGGGTATTGGTACCACCTGAAGTTCCAGAACCCCCTTCTTCACCTCTCCGTCGGTTACGATTATTGCGAACGTCTCGAGAACGGAAAACGCTGTACAACAGCCATCCCGTTACCCAGTTGGGCCCATATTCTCCGTTTGTAATACCTCGATCAAACCACGCCCGTGTTCCCGGTTTGGAGTTTCTCCAAATTTCTAGAATGCCCCAACGCTGCACCTCTGGTCTGATGTGGTGCCAGAAAAATGGCGGTCGGATGTAAGGGTCGTTCCTCAAGCTTTCAAGAAGGTTGGAGTTTTCCTGATTCAATATATTGTAAACGATAATTGCTTCATCCTAACAACGTACTGATTAGTGGCTGCCTTCTTCCAATTGCCACCTTTGTATGGCTTCAGACAATGTTTCCTTGGCGCGACGCTCTCTGGAAGTTCGAGAAACTCACCCTCATTGCTCGGTATAAAGTCTCATGTAAAGGGTTATTTGTGTCAAGGCCAAGAGCATGCATAAAATCCTCCTTGGACACTCTAGGGCCAACAGCCATCTCTACAGATGGTCAAATCCTTCCAATTAACAAGAAAAGCAGAGGTTTGGTAAGTAGGCGTGATGAAGTTTTCTTAGTATATTTCTTTATGTCTCCCTAATGTTTTCCAGTGATGGTGGATTGGAAGGGCAAGAAGTCGGTGCCTACGGGGATATTTATGCTTTATACTCGGGTCGTTCGAGCATTATTAGGTAGCAAACATTCTGCAGCCTCCCCGAAGCTTACCTCTATTGCTCTTAAAAAAAAATTTAGAGGGGAAGAAAAGCAAAAATAAAGTGGAAAAAACTGAAAGAAAGGTTGGACGCGAATGGATCCCATTAATGTTGTGTGGACTATGGTAAGTCCTTCTTTTGATTGATGCATCAAAGAAGAATATGTCATGTGCGACCGGGTCTACCTTATACTTGACCAAGTTACTAGGGCTAGAATCATTGATCGAAGCAAGCTGATCCCATTGTCAAATCCTCCAAAAATTGGATTCTCCTGCATGCTTCCGCACCACGGCAGTGCCTAACCATTGTTGTGGATTCAAAAAGGTTTACCTGAAGAAAAGAAGGGATAACTAGAGTGGGTAGGTGGTTAGAGTCTTACCAGCTACCATTGTTTTTCAGAACTTCAATTTGTTTGACTATTACCGAGACATATCTGTGAACATGTTATTAATCTGTGGTGGAAATGGTTGCATCGTTGATTCCGGTGATGATAAAACCAACCTGGGATCTAGGTGCACATGTGTTCACTTCCCTTGTCTGCTATGCTGGCTGTTGATTCTGTTTCTGTGGGAACCCTTGAATTCTCATCATTGACAACCTCAGATATATTAACAGCAAATCCCCGCTCTATATGTATTGGGAGAGGCGAATTGATGCTTAAATGGAAGTTGTGAATGAAGTGCGCACATCATGTATTGAAGAATGAGTGATAAACTGGGAAATCATCCTTCAGCTAAAACAATGAACACACACACAACTACTTGCAGAGAGCAGTTACAATTCTTTATAGCTTGATGATGAAATGGGATATAGATCAAATTGACATATTGAAAAAGTTCTCACAGTTCTCGCAGGAACAATCGCCCCGACGTACGATCTTCAACATTCCTATATTTTTATTATTCATAGTTTACAAGACGGTTTCTTTGACTTATGGGCATTAATCTTTGTGTTCATGGACTGCTTGCCATTATGTTAATGCGCTACAGGAACCTGGATCTAGTTCCCCTCGATCTCCGTTGCAACTCCTATCTATCGCAGGGATTTTTGATTGCATGGCCACAGCGGGTGTCCCCCCGCTACAGTCTACTGAGTCTTCTGGACATCCAGTGGCTTGTGTGATAATCCGAGCAATTCCAGCCCTTTCTCCCAAGGTTTGTGACCTTGCGATGTTGTCTCTAATTGCCGGAGCCCCGCATCCCTGCCACTGTTTCCCAACCACTTTTCTGGTTATGCTACAACCAGCTAGTGAACAACCACCAAATGAAGGGAAGGAGGAAAAATCGAAAAATGCAATGAGAATTGAAGTAACACATTTACTATTGGAGAGGTTGTTCATCACCAATGCGCCAATGTTAGAGCAGATTATTGGCCCACATTGCTCATGCAATGCAGATCAAGAACTTGATAACAATAATCAATCAGGAATGATCTTTATTTAGTTAAGCTCCAGGGTCCAGCGCCACCGATCTGGCAGAAACGCAGATCAAACAAAGAAGGGAATCATGAGTAGAAATAATCGCAGATAATTGGCGGAATTGAGGAAGACTGGTTCTTGTGAAAAATGAAGTTACAGACGCAGCCATTGCAAGATGTTTGCAAGAGACAGCCAAGGCAGCTCTTATTGGCACGTGACCATAAACTCTTCCTGGCCTTATCCTGAAAATGTTACTTTTGCCAAAGTGAAGCTTAAACTTTCCAGTCCTTCAACAATCCCAACTGATTTTAAATGTACAGTTCAATGTGCTCCATTTCACTTTTGCAGCTGGCTGAAAGGGATTCATAATATTCAGTTTGTTTGACTTCTCAAGTTTCAGGTCTCACACTGTTTCGATTGGAACGAGGTAGTTATTCACACCAACCTCTTTGGGGCCATTGCACACACAACACCTCTAATTTGCAATTACATACTCGAAATGATGTGGTGTGACCTGTCAAACTTCATATTCATGGTTCTGATGTAAGATATATAAAGGGGCGTTTAAGTTGACGCAGCAACTGCGGAAATAGCTCCTTTGACCCACACTCACTCACCTCCATTGAGAGGGGTAAGGAAAAAATAAATTCTGTGATAAGGACGAGGCATGCTGATCTGCTGCAGATTTAGATTTTGACTGACATAATAAATGACCTTGTGATTACTGGGGACTCTGTTCCAATATTTGGATTTTAAATTGTTCCATGGATGAGCTGCTACTTTTTAGTTGGTTTATTTTCTCAGTAGGTTTCTTTTAGTTAGTTGCTTACTCCTAGAAGACTAAACTCTTGCTATCTAGGAAATCAACACTGATACTTATACTTTCTGTGGAAATATCAAGGACTTGCTCTTCATGTGAATTCTAAATTTCATTTTCTAGAAGAAGGCATAAAAGTCTAATGACTAACTAATCTACTTAGAAGTTCTCTGCAGCTCTAGTTGATTTTAGTGTCTGCATTCCCCTTAATCCATGATCAACATCTGTTGTCTCCCTGAGCTGTTTGTTGTGTGTGTTCCATAGCAGAATTTTTATTTTACCTGTTTCTTTATAGCACTATCTGCCCCAGATCATTCAGAAAGTTCACAGCACCAGCAGAATCTTAACGGCTCCCCTGCCTGCTGTCCTACTTGCTACCACTAGTTGAAGGGTTGCCTTACTTACTGTACATGTATTCTTCGAACTACAGCCGTTGGCGGATGTAACATGGATGCTGAACACAACCTCTCTACAAAGTAAAGGAGGTCATCGAGAGAGGAGGGCGAAGTACGGCGTATATAAACATGTTTATGTATCCAATTTATTTGCAAAATCTGCGAGGATATGTGAGGTTTTTACTCTTCTCATTGCGGGATTTATACGATGGAAATTTCTCTGGAATGTTCGCTTTTTACTTCATTTTGTTCCTTTCATTAATTCTAACTCCCTTTTTCTAGTGTTGCATCTTTCCCCTGTTAGCGATGAAGCAGGCATGTTTTTGAATGCCTGGTGGGTAGCCGCACTCTTTAGTTGTAATATTACTTCTGCATGAGCTCTCTCGAAAGACCACACATCCTCCCATTTCCTGCAAGTCGATGGCTACGTTCTACCCTAATCAAAAGATTGAAATGTTATTTTCTTATTATAAGTATTTGGCCAGAGAGAATAAAAACCAAACGAACTATATCAGGTTTTAATTTCACTCTTCTCATTCGAAAACGGCTCCACAAACTTATCTTCACCCGCTTTACACTATGACAACGTGTTCGCTTTGCTCATATCGCTGCATGTGTAACTTCAGAATACACGGCTATGCGAGGCTATGTCCGAACTAGCTAATCAAAATGCTTGTAGCAGATTATATTATATTTGCAGCGGTTGATTGGCCTTTCCACATTATGATCGAAATCGCTTCTATCAATCTGGTTGATATTTCGTAAACAATTCACTCATACTTACATCCATTTTTAGGAAACCTGGATGCGTATATGCTGTACAAGTCCGTATAATGCATATCTTGGTTAAACCGCATATCCAGGTTGAAAGTAGACTTTCGATACTCCCCTCCGCATCACAAATATTGTGTAAAAGCGGAGTTCTAGAGCATTAAATAGTCCATACTCTAGCTCATCTGTGTGTGTGTGTGTGTGTGTGTGATTTTCAGGAAATGAAATCAGCCTCTGCACCAGCAATGCAATCTGTAACTCCTGCTATCATCAGCCAACAACTTCTAACTCTGATATAGAGAGCTTGTCCAGCAATATGCAATACATAAGCTGAACCTTTCCAAAAGAATTGAATTAAAATTGAAAGAGAGTAATTAAAGCAACATATATTCAACGAGTGTAGCCAACAGAAACACATCAGTTAATGATCTCCTGCAGATCTGGAATTAGTTACTGATAGATGCAATGATTAAGCTGGTGGAAATTTTGTGTCACACATTTCACAACACGTTTCTTTAGTTCAGAAGGTAAGCTATACAATTTCCCATTCTTATAGAAAATGTGAGTTTGTAGATTGTCGCCTTGAATTTTTGATTCGTGCTCCTGATTTGGGATGGGGATCCACGACATTCACTAAATAGTGCTACAATCGGTCAATGACCCAAACGTTCAACCTGGGACGAACAGGTGTTCATTAGATCTACCTCAGATGCTCTTGGCCGTTCTATTGAGATCCTCTGGTTCCACTAGATAGCAAGGTATGGTTCTATATATCTTACACGGGGGTAAGGTAGAGTTCCACGTTCACCTCCATCAAACCAAGACAAAAATGAATGGTCAGGGTTGTTGGGGACGCAACATTTGATGTTTCGCGGCATCATAATCTCTGATTGAATGCCGAATCAGAATATGAATATCCAATAATAATATCCAAAGTCGGTATGGTATGTAAAATAGCACAATCCTTCCTGGCATGAAGTGAGGTTATGGCTGTTGAGGCTCTGAATAAACTTTGATAATCGAAAGAGCCTCAACAACCTTATGTCGATCTATGACGAATAGTCAGAACGTAGCAGGCATAAGATAGTAGTATTCATAATGACTAGCTAATCAATATCTGACTATAATAATAATGACTATCAACTCTCCCAGAAGAAGAAGAAGAAGAAGAAGAGAAAAACAGCAAGAAAAGGATGAAATATATATACATGTGTGCGGGTGTACGCGAGTTTAGTCATTAGTGAGGCATACGGCCGTAGCGGTCAGGGATCTGAGGCATACGAGTGATATGATGCTCGTGACACGATCGTTTTTAAAGTTGGAACGCCAAGAATTTTGGCACTAAAACTTGATATCAAGAAGGCATCCTAGCTGAACTTCTTTCCAGG